CCAGAACAAACTTTATCTATTCCCAGAAACCATCCATTGCACCTGCATCATGAACCATTATTCACTTAGCCGATTGCATGCGACCAATCAGCGGCCTTTTTAAATACCTACACGTGTGTTGTTGGCACGCGTACGTGTCTACTCTGGCGTGTGTCGGGGTCAGATGGGCGGCCTGCACACATGTGGCTGTGTGTGCGTGTCGGTGAGGGGGGCACTAGCGGTCCGGCGTTGAACGTCGCATATACAAACACGTCAGTCTTTTTATCCCTCGGCAACTGATCACTATTACAATGATAAGCTAGTCTTGACGTAGATCTACGTAATGAATTGTGCGCTCGAGATGACACAGGCTTGTGTATTCGAACGAACACGACTTTTTTTTAAACAACTCGTCAGATGCAGGCATTTCAGCTTGTGTATTTGAACGAATTGGTCTTTTTTTTACACAGCTCATAATATGCAGGCATTTCAGCCACTACTTGTGACTTCTCTTTATACATTACTTGCTCAGTGCCTGTAATTATCTACACAAAACCTCGTGTTTGCTATAACAAACACTCGGATTCTGTTAAACATGGGGTTACGCAGCCAGTGACTGACTTTAACAAATTTGATCAAATTTTAAACAACAACCATTTTCTTAAAAATTGACTGAGAGGTTAAAGAATGGTACCAAAATGCTCAGTGGATATAGGCCTTTCAAATGGAACAGATAAATTTGACATACAGCTACTTTGAAAATTTAGTTTCTGGTACCTACTCTCAAATTCCTCATTGCCAAATCTGGGACAGTTCATGAAAATCGACGGGACAATTCACCACTCTATTATAATTACAAAGTTCTCTCAGCTCAGTACGGTACCTAGTACCTTCTTTTGAAAAATTTTGAGTTTCCCAACACATCAAGCTTTTTCGAAAGCAATTCTATAAATGACTTTCTTGATAATCAATCGGAATAATCCTATGATTTTGACAGAGCAGATAGAACGTTTGGTTTCTGAAATCTTGGTCTTAGTAGCTCAAAACGGGAAAAAATGTTGGACAAGTCTGCTGTTTTATCATTTGTGTCACTCACTCATGAGGAAAACATTTTAATAAACAAATGAATGAATAAATGAATAAATAAATAAATAACTAAACAAATAAATAAACCCCCAAAAATGTTTTTAAAAATAAAGAAAGAAATAAAAATAAATTTAAAAAATAAGAAAAAGAAAGAAAAAGAAAGAAACCCAAGATCATGAGCTGCGTCGACTTACCATGGAGGTTTCACACAAGAGTTTGCTGCCCTTGACCAGGTTGCCGATGGTCATGTGGAAGTAGGTGTTGCCGCTGCTCCAGTTGGAGATCTTGGAGAACATGTGGGTGGCCAGTAACTCCTGGAACATACACACAGGATGTCAGTGTTTTGGGGGTTTTTTTATAGTAGAGGGTTTTACGGCGCTCGCCACTGCATACGGTCATATGAGCGCCAAGGGGTGGGTGTCAACAGAGAAATCTTTACAGGGAATCAGACTTAGACTGCTCACCTCTCTAGCTTCGACTATCAAGGCACCCCAAGATAGCAAGTCACAAGAGAGTGACAAACATACAAAAGAAGTAGAGGAAAATAACAATAGTAAGGATCAGGAAAGAAAAAGCAGCAGTTCCCTGTCGTAGATCAGGCACAGTTATGAGCGTGACATGAGTCAGCCCATTTACAATTCTACTATGCTTGAACGAGAAATGTTCCCCCTTTGGGAATGGCCTAAAGACACTACAGTCAGCGGTACTGCCCCGGGGGGAAGATGTCAGTGTGGGAACACACATAGACACACACACACACATAGACAGACACATAGACACAAGTAGGTGTTGCCGCTGCTCCAGTTGGAGATCTTGGAGAACGTGTGGGTCGCCAGTAACTCGTGGAACACATAGACAGGACGGGTTTATGTAAGTGTGGGGACACACACACATAGACACACACAGTTAATAGAGAACATGTAGGTGGCCAGTAACTCCTGGAATATGGACGTCACAGAGGAATATGTCGGTGTACATAGACAAACACACACACATCGACACACACAAACATACACACACAGACACACAATGGGACGGAATATGTTAGAGTGGAAACATACACGCAAGTTAAAAAAATACACAGTTGCCCTAAATAATATCTTAGCTGCCCCCCATCCCTACGCAATTTATTCTGGTTAGTTCGCTTGCTTTCTATTTTTCCAGCGAGACCAAGAAGTTCCAAGATTTTTACATCGATTCATGTGTCGATTCAACTGCATTTGTCTCTTTCATCTTTCTAATTAACTGTTGTTACCACACAAACATCATCATCATCATCCAGTGCCAGATCTGCGACAGACATTGGCGATCATGATTTTCCATTCATTCCTTTGCTCGGATGCTCTCAGAAAAGCTACGTTTCCCTGATTTTTCCCTGTTATCCATTTGTTTAGGTTCCCTAAGTATGTTGTTCTGGGCCTACCCCTGCCTCGCTTGCCTTCAATTTTGCCAGTGAGAGCTAGATGTTCAAGACCCTTATGTCTATTCAGGTGTCCCAAAAACTGCATTTGTCGTTTCCTGATTGTTTTTAACATTGAGCGTCCCACGTGGGCTTCATCAAGCACTACCTCATTTGATTTCTTTTCCTTCCACGATACTCTTAGCAGTCTCCTAAGAAACCACATCACACAAACATAGGGGGGAAAAAACACAAACCATTTTTTTTTTTTTGCTTTGCTCACCTTGGTCTGCGGGTGTATAAGGTTCACGCCATTCTTGTTGATGGCGATAAGCAAGTTCTCGGGGTAGTTGGGCTCCGTGGTTTGCTGGGGTGGGGGAAAAATATAACGCTTACAGATTTGTGGGGATAACACACATAATATAACACTTAAAGATTTGGGGAAAAACCCATAAATGTAATACTTACAGATTTGTGGGAAAATACGCGTAATGTAAAAAAGCTGGAGAAGAATCACAGAAATCGATGTACAGAAAAGTAGGAAGACATGGAATAACATCAAGAGGCTAGCCTAGTAGCCCAGTAGCCCAGGATAGAGAAAGGTGGAAGGCGTTTGTCCGTGGCCTATACCCTGGTGCAGGGTGAGAAAGGCATTGATGATGAAAACTAAAAGACTAATGGGGGGGAGGGAGGACACATAAATATGACATTTACAGATTTGTGTGAAAAAAACACACTATGTAACACTTAAAGATTAGTGTAGTAGTAGTAGTACACGGTTTTACGGCGCTCGCAACTACATAAGGTCATATGAGCGCGCAAAACACAAGTTGTTAGCATTCGCAACAGTAAAGTTCACTGCACGGTTGGTCCACAATTAGACTTTCAAATGCTAAAATACTAAAAATTAAGTGTAAATATATTTGCGATTTAAAACAACTCTTATAAAAAACAATAACATTTTTTAACAATATTGTTTCATTTTATAATTTGCCATAAAGGCCTATGGCCTTCATAAAATTCAAAATTCAAAATTCTGCTGGGACCAACGACGGAAAAAATGTCTTGCAATTTCTTGCATTTATAATATTTCCTTCGGACCTCTCCAAAGTCTAGACATTCGGTTAAGATGTGTCTAACGGTAAAATTTGTGTCGCATCCAACACAGAACGGCTTCTCATCTCCTTGTAGGAGGTATTTGTGGGTCAGGGCCGTGTGTCTGATGCGCAATCGAGTAAAAATGACTTCGTCTCTTCTGGAGAGGTCCGAAGGATTTCGCTGTTTCAGTTTGGGTTTTATAACATTCAGTTTATTGTTTTTCTGTTTTTCCCAGTGGCTCTCCCACAGACTGGAGGTGTACTTTTTGACTTTATTTCAAAAGTCAGTCTGTGGGAGAGTGTTTGTTGTTGATCCCAGCAGAAGGGATGAAGCTTTCTTCGCCAGGTCGTCTACCTGCTCATTTCCTCGGATGCCCATATGGCTAGGTATCCATGCGAATATGATGTTTTTTCCTGTCTCGGATAGTGTGTGAATTTTCTGTTGTAGCCTAACTATTTTTGGGTGTAAGAGTGTGTAGTTTGTGAGTAAGGTGATGCAAGACAGAGAGTCAGAAAGGATTAGGAAAGATTTGTTTGGAGAATTTTCTAAGGAGTCCAGTGCCATGTCAATGGCAGTGGCCTCCGCAGAGAAAATGGAGGCTTCATGATGGAGTCTCCTCTGGTGTGTATTGTTGGGAGATAGGGCTGCGGCGCCCACTTCATAGTCTTTTTTGGAGCCATCCGTGAAGATGAGCTCTGCACCGGGGTATTTATCTATTAGTTTTTTGTATTCTGCTTTAAAAGTTTTGGTGTTTGTGCTTTCTTTGTTGTGTGTGTGGTCAGCTGTAAGTCTACTTTTGCCTTGGTGAGGTACCAGGGATGGAGATCGGGGAAAAGAAATTGTTGGATGTCTTGTTTGGAAAAGTGTACGTTTTTGAGGTCCTCAAGGATTCTGAGGCCGAAGGGTTTGATGAGTTTTTCGTTGTTTTGGAATCTGTTTATGGTTTCTGGTTTGTTTTAAAAATGCAGTTGTGCGCTGGATTTTCCGGTGTTGAGCTCTGTTTCATTGCGTATTGTAGTGAGAGTTGTGTGCGCCTGAGTGACAGTGGTGGTATGTTGGCCTCGGCCTGGAGGCTCTCCACCGGAGAAGTGTGGAAAGCCCCCAGAGCGAGGCGGAGTCCTTGGTTCTGTACTGGGTCTAGCATTTTTAAGATGTGTGGTTTTGCCGATACGTAGACTTGACAGCCGTAGTCAAGCCTGGACCGGACAAGGGAGATGTACAAGTGGAGAAGGTGTTTTGACTCCCCGCCTCACTCCGAATGCGATAGAATTTTCAAAGCGTTTAGCGCTTTCTGGCACCTCACACGAAGATCTTTGATGTGTGGTATGAAAAGTGAGTTTTTTGTTGAAAATGATGCCGAGGAAACGAGCTTGGTCCTGGACGGGAATCCTTTCCCTGTATAGTGTCAAATCTGGCTGTAGCACACGCCTGCCTGTTCCGCAGAAGTTTACTGCAACCGTCTTTGACGGGGAGAACTTGAAACCGTTATTGTTTGCCCACTTTTCGAGTTTGTGCAGCTGCGTTTGCAGCTGCCTTTCCGTAAATCTCAAATGAGGATTTTTCGAACGGCAGCATATCAAAAAGTCATCAACCTATAACGAGCTGTCTATGCTGTTTGGAGGGTTTTTACTTTGGAATTTATTTTAATTTCGAATAGGAGAGGAGAAAGGATGCTCCCTTGGGGACTCCTTCCTCCTGTTGGTGGGGGTCTGAAAGGGAGGATCTGACATGAACCTGGAAGGAACGGTTCTTCAGGAAGTTGCCAATGAAGGCAAGGAGGTGACCGCGTATTCCGAGTGCGTGCAGGTCTCGAAGAATGCTGTACTTCCAGGTTGTGTCGAAGGCTTTTTCTAGGTTGAAAAAGATGGCGATCATGTGGCCTCCTTCAGCGAACGTCTTGCGTATAAAGGTCTCCAGGCGGACCAGGTGATCCAGAGTGGATCGAGTTTTCCTGAATCCACACTGGAGACCGCTCAGCGAGCCCGTCGTTTCCAGAAACCACATGAGTCGCCTGTGGATCATTTTTTCAATGAGTTTGCAGAGACAGCTCGTTAGTCCTATTGGTCTCTTTATTTGTTGGGTGTGTGTGGTCCTTGTTTGGTTTGGGTATTGGAATGACAGTGGCGAGACGCCAAGACTCCGGAAAGGAGTGCGACCGCCACATGTCGTCGTATGTCTAGTAGGACTGTGAGTGTTTCTGAGGGTAAGTGTCTAATGATCTGGTTGTGGATGTCATCCGGTCCCGGGGCTGTATTGCCCAGGTCCGAGATGCACGATGTTTGTTCATCTATTGTGAAGTCTGCATTGTAGGTTTCAGTGTTGTTTCAGTGGAAGTTTAGGTGTTGTTTTTCTCTGTTAGTTTTGATGTTTTGAAAATTGGTGTTGTAGTTTGCTTGGGATGAGTTTTTGGCGAGAGATGTAGCTATTGTGTTTGCGATGTCTACTTGTGTGTTTCAGCTGTGGTTCCATCCGGCCTCTGGACGTGCCGAATGGTGTCTGTGCATCTACCCATGAATTTTTTAGCAATTTTGAAAACTTGGTTGAGTGGTGTCTGGCTATTGATTTTGGAGATGTATTTTTTGAATGATTGTCTTTTGCTCTCCCTGAGGCATCTACGTGCCTCAGCTCGAGCCTTTAAATAATTTATCTTGTTTTCTGTCGTGGTGTTGTTGACGGCTTTTCGATACGCTGCCTTCTTTTTCTTTACTGCATCCTCACATTCCCAAGAGAACCAGATCTTGTTCCTCCAGGGTTTTGTATTTGTTTTTGGTATGTGTTTTTGGCATATTTCTAAAAGCTTTTCGTGGAATTTATTGTAGTTGTGGTCGAAAGTGGGGAACATTGATTGGCAAACCAGTTCCAGTTTGCTTTTTTGAAGTTGAAGCATTCTGGGATCGGGTCGTTTTGGAGGCTATTGTTTTTTAGAAGAACTGGGAAATGGTCTGTACGGTCATCCAGCACAGACCACTCAAGATCTGTGACTAGGTCAGGGGTACAAAAGGTGAGGTCAAGGGATGAAGTGCCATAAGTGGCTCTGTTTCGGTAAGTTGGGGACCTACCATTTAAGAGACAGATGTTTTTGGGTTTTTTAAATTTTCTATTATTTTTCCTTTCTGGTCTGTAGGTTTGTCTCCCCAAAGGGGGCTGTGGGCATTGAAATCACCTCGCAAAATATAGGGTTTTGGAAGCTGAGCCTTTAAGTCATTTAGTTGGGTTATTCTGAGGGGGTAATTTGGTGTGATATAAACTGAGCAGATCGTGATTGGTCTGTGCAGGGTGACCCATACGGCAATAGCCTGGAGGGTCGTCTTAAGATGTACTTGTCTGTGGAGCGTGTTGTTGTCGGTGTAGATGGTGGTACCACCGGAAGCAATCTGGTTCTCCGTGTGAATGTGATGATACGCAGTAAATCCTCTTAAGTTCTATGGTTGAAGGCGGGGTGAATTTTGTTTCTTGTATACAGGCCACACTGTGCCCACGTGTGCACAGTGTGGCTGTAAGTGTTGCAATTCTGCAATGGAAGGTCGGATTCCGCCGACATTCTATTGCAGGACAGCCCTTATGACTTTTTAGATTTTATTTTGGAGCTCAAAGGCCCCGG